ACCAACTTTACTTCTGAACAGTGAATATTATTGTTGTTGTTGTTTTTAGTTCTTACTTGATACTTCAGACTTCAGACATTCAGAGTTCAGAATTCATGAATCTCGTCTTGGTTACTATTCGAATTGCCAATAATTACTAAATTCCAATTGGTCGTATTCAAAACAAGGTTTTCCGATTTGTTATTTATGTTTTGATTTTTAAATTACCATTTACATGTTACTACTTACAAGTTACACTTTTCTGTTCTTATGAAATGCTTTTCCAGTAAATTCAAGTTTCTCTTGCAATATTATGAACACATATGTAATCTATGTTGTGTTTGATAGATGAACCATGAATTCACTGTGAGAATCGTCCGTTTGTTAATGGAAGTGTCTACTTGTTTCGTTTGAAGTGTTTTCATGACTACTTAAATTGAACGTTTTATATTTCGGTGCGTTTTTGTGCGAAAATATGGTGGAAGAGAATCGAACAGGTTTTGGGCAAGTGGACATCGTTGATGATGACAATATGGTCCGATTGCCGCGACAGCGTATTGTCGATATGTATAAAAACGCTATGTCGCGCGTTCGCGTTTTAGAAGCAAAGGCGAACGAAGGTACTATTTTCTCATTGCGATATGCGAAATGCATACAAAAAATTACATTTTCGCATTTTTATTTACATACTTGATACGAAAAAGTGATAAACAATTAATTTACATTTTACGGTTACTTATTTACAATACAAATTTATGATTTTGTTGTTATTCGACATTGACTGCAAATTAAGCTTTTTCCTCCAGACTGTGGGTATTTTACCTTTTAAAGGTAGGTCACTACGAATGTGTTTTTTGGGGAGTTCGTGTTCGTAAGTAAAAAAACATGTTTGGTTTGTCTCAATCAGTCTACAGTTGAGCACCTATTATATCTCATTATTATCTAATTGACGTGATTGTTTTGAAATATACAATTTTTTCAGCGTCAATATGTATTAGATGTAACCTATTGTGTGACAAGAGTGAGCGAACAGACCAAGATTTTCGCAAACTAGTTATACGAGAGAAATGTTTACTAAGAAAATTGACTATTAAAGATCAAGAAATACAAGATTATGCTGTTAGTATTTGGACATATTCTGATTATAAATTATATAAATTAATATTTATTTAAATTTATAGATGTGTACTATAGAGTTCTGATTTTTTAATGTACCTAGATCATTCAATTAAAAAAAAAATTCTAAATTAATATTGTGATTATATATCGACCAATTTGTTGTTATTATCAATTTATAAATTTATAAACTGTGATTTCCATTATTTTTCTAATAAAATTAAGGTATTTATTTTTAGGCACAATTGTCAGCCATGCGAAATTCTATTCAAAACAATTCATTATCATCACTCAAATGTTCATTACAAGATCCAGCTGTAAATCTTCTGATTCAAAGATTACGACAAGACCTGTGTGCTACAAAAATTAGACTAGAAGAAACCCAGAGAGAACTGAATGCCTGGAAATTTACACCCGACAGGTTAGTTAAGTTTCATCATTAGTTAAAATTTTGATAAAAATTCAATATCAAATAAAAATGTTGGCAGTAATACTGGAAAAAGATTGATGGCAAAATGTCGTTTACTGTATCAGGAAAATGAAGAACTTGGTAAATTAGTAAATAGTGGCCGAGTAGCTAAGCTTGAAAGTGAATTAGCATTGCAGAAAAACTTTGGTGAAGAAGTTAAAAAATCACAATCAGGTAAATCCTAAATATGTTCTCATGTATCTTATTTGCATTCCTTATGTTTGTATGCATAGTCAATTTGTGTGTCACATAGATTGACTATGCATATCGGCATTATTGATTTTAAATTTTTAGCGGAGCGATAAATGTTTAATTTTTTACATTGGCTTGTGTTTTTTTTTTCAACTCTTTACTATGGAAAAAATTTAATATTTTACTTTGCTGTTTCTGTTTCGCGTTTCAAATTATTTTGAATTCAGTTAAACCTTCACCGTCTAGATTTTTTTATATTGTATACAACATCTATATTATAAATTTATTTTATTTTGTCTAGAACTTGATGAATTTTTACAAGACTTAGATGAAGATGTGGAAGGAATGCAGAGTACAATATACTTCTTACAGAATGAACTTCAAAAATGTAAAGCTTCTGTTCAAAGTACTAACAATACTGAAAACAAAGAAACTAATCCAATATCTATTGTTAATGGTATTAAAAAAGATGATGTTACTACAACAGAGATATCTCTAAAATCAAAAACTGAAATACCAACTCCATTGGTCAAAACTAAACCTAATAATAAGTCGAGTAAACACAGCAAACCAAAAGATACTAAGCAATTAAGTGATGATAAAAATAATAAGCCCAAAGTAAAAAAAATACGACCAGCAAAAGCAGAAAGTACGGATCAAAGTGGGCAACCTCCTAAGGTACATAAAAGCAAACACAAATCAGATGGGAGTAAAAATGAAGATAAAAGAAAAAAGTCTGAAAAAAGGCCCCATAGCAAAGGTGAAGTAGTTCATAAAAAGTCAAAAAGTGAGCTTCCCAAAAGTACTGAAGTTGAGACTCCCGTTGAAGTAGTTAATGGACTACCAAATGGTTCATAAATATTGTTATTTTAATGTTATTTTTAATTTGTCAATGTTGAATTGTTGATAGAAAATACTTACTGAATTATTTTTCAACTTTATTTTTTTATGTTTAGGTTTGAATAAATAATTTAAAAAAAAATATTCTTGTTAAAATATAATACAATAGTTTTTATACTTTAATATTTAGAACAAAATGTTGCATTTAGACACTAACTATTTAAGACTTAAAAATATGTGATTCTTTGTTCAATACAATTTTAAATAAAGCACCAAGTTAATTTTATGGTTTAAAATAAATTTTGGGATTAAAAACATGAATGAATAGAAAAATGCGGTGCAACAATATTTTCTATATTAAATTTAAGGTGTTATTCTAGAACTATCAAGTTTTCAACATATTTTACATTTACCAATTATACTTTTAATATAAAATGAGTTAAAACCTAAAACATTTCAAAATCAATTTTTTTGTTACAAACGAGTATATAAGTTTAGTTTTTTGGCAGTATAGACTATATTGATTATTAATTGGAAAGTCAGTAGCTAATTCAAAATATAATACAGATATATTGAAGTACAGTTTTTTTTTAATGTAATAGCATAAAACTAGTTTCTCCCTTTTATAGTTGTTTACATTTGTTAAAATATTCAACCAATTTTAAAATTGTTTTTTCTACGTAGTATTAATAAATAACTAATATATAAATAACTAAATATAAGATATTTTCTAATTTAAAAAAAAGTTGTTTTTGATAAACTTAAACAAGATTTTAAGCAGTCATTAAAATTTTTTAGGCCATGATAACAGCTATTGGTCCGTATAACACATTAAAATGAACTACAATACAATATCTGCATTATACTTTGAATTAAGAGTTACCTACTGACTTTCCAGTTAATTAAGATATGGTACCGCTATCACCCCTAACACAAGATTAGGTACTCCGCTTTCATAAATCAAAAATGCAGTTCAAATGATTTTCCACTCATTTATTTTCTTAATCTTCAAGAGTTTAAGACTATAATGGATATATTATGTACAAGTGAACATGATCCAAATGTTTTGTATAATAAATCCTGTGGAAAAAACGTTCATCGAAATAAAATTGGTTTGCTTGGTGTGAAACTTCTCCCATTTGAAAAACCTTGTTTTTCGAAAGGAACATTTTAGTAGTTTAAAAATATATAAATGTTAAATAATTAATAGGTATGTGTTGAAGCTACTGTAAATAGGAAAGGGAAAATTGTAAAATTAATATCACTGGGAGAAGTTTACTTGGAAAAAATGTGTGGAACAAAAGGTAGTGATCAAATTTTAATCGTCCTTAATTAAGATCACGAACATATTATAAGTACCTAAGGTACCTAATAGTTAGATATAAACATACCTAATATATTATAGTATTATACCATTATATATTATTAGGTAATATTATAATATTATGTCTAAGGATGTAAATAAAGACTTTCTACGTCATGCTTGTAGAATGTAAATCAACTACACTATATAGTACGATGGCTGCTGAATGGTGAAATACTGAAATGCTTCAATGGTGAATGTCAAATACTCAAATGGAACTTTTTTGATTTTTACCATAATTTAAGAATTTAAGATATATGATATACCTATCTGGAACTGAGAATAAATTTGCTTAAATCTTACCAGTCCTTATCTTTGATTTTTCTTATCAACCGGTTTATAATTATGTACACGTGATAAATGATAATAACAAAACGGCAATAATATCACAATTTTTACTATCATAAATCTTGCATTCGTGCTGCAATGCTGCATTTAGCATTGCTGCAAAGGCACAAAATTCTATGATATTATCGACATTCGACACTACAGTATTGAGTATACAAGTATACAACTGTGTACATTATACATAATTAGTAACTATTTGATGAACTAACGTAATACGTCAATTTTACTTGATTTGATAATTTACTGTTTATGTATTAAGCGTTTTAGTTTTTTTCGTACGTCCCATCGAACAGGAAAATGCCGACAATCAATATTAAAAGGGATCTGCTTTTCGAGGCCCTTGGAACGACTTACAGTAATTATTTTCAATACGTCTGATGATTGATGTTTTAAATGTATTTTCTTTTCCAGCCGACGAAGAGTTTGACAATTTGTGCATTTCGTATGGATTAGAGCTCGACGAGGTGGTGAGTGTTTTTTAATAATTATTCAAATTCATATATTTTACGGATTGATCAAATTTAGACTTCGGAAAAACAAATGGTTTCCAAAGAACAAAGCGAGTCTAAATCTGAAGGTGCTTCTGATGATACGATTTACAGAATTGACATACCGGCAAACCGTTATGATTTGTTATGTCTAGAAGGATTAGTGGATGCGTTGCTTGTCTTTCAAAATAAGTAAACCAAAAAACTTCTAGTTAATCATTATCATAAATTCCATAACATTTTATTTAAATCATTTTAGGATGGAATTACCCCATTATAAAGTAATTCAGTCAAAAAAACCATTAAAAGTACTTGTTAAATCAAATGTGAGTACAATTTTATTATAAATATAGATTTAAATGATTTACCTTATTTTGATGTTTGCTTTTACATTGCATACATTTATGTATTAATATAGACCAAACAAATTCGGCCTTATGTTGTCGCAGCTGTACTGAGAGATGTTACTTTGAATGCAGCAAGATATGCTAGTTTCATAGACTTACAAGACAAACTACATCAGAATATTTGTAGAAAGCGATCACTTGTTGCTATTGGTACTCATGATTTGGATACAATTCAAGGACCGTTCACGTATGATGCTTTGCCGCCTGAAGACATCAAATTCAAAGCTTTGAATCAAACAGAAGTTCACAGTGCTGCAGAACTAATGGATATTTATTCAGTAAATAAATTAATTTAAAAGCTCTTAGATATCTGAAATTTACTTAACTTTTCTCCTTAGGCACATGCTCAATTGAAACAATATTTGAGTATTATTAAAGACAGCAGCGTGTATCCAGTCATTACAGATAATAATGGAGTAGTACTATCGATGCCACCAATTATCAATGGTTATCATTCTAGGATTACTTTAGAGACCAAAAATATTTTCATTGAGTGTACAGCAACTGATTTGAAAAAAGTATGTTTATGTCTTAAAACTGTGTAGTTATTGTAAATTTGATCATTATTATTTTTGTTTAGGCCAATATTGTTTTGGACACAGTTTTGTGCATGTTCAGTAAATATTGTTCGAATAAATATACAGCAGAAAGGTGTGAAGTTGTATACCCAGATGGGGCAGTAAAATTGTATCCAGAACTGAAATATCGCAAAGAAACAGTGAATCGGAAGAAAGTGAATTCATATTTAGGGATCAGGTATTATAGAATTTATGGTACAGATACAAAGAATACCCACTAAAAGAAGCTATTTGTAGTGAAAATTTAGACAACCTGTCCTCTGCCTTATCGTCCATGTGTTTGAAATCGGCTGTTTTGAAAGAATCTGATGTGGTTGTTGTTCAAGTGCCTCCGACTAGACATGACATTATCCATGCATGTGACTTGTATGAAGATGTAGCTATTGCTTACGGTTATAACAATATACCCAAAACATTACCGAAAACCACAACGATAGGTTCTCAACTGCCCATCAATTCTCTGTCTGATAAGATTAGGAATGAAATAGCATATTGTGGCTTCAATGAAGTACTAACTTTCTCCTTAGTAAGTTTGTGAGTTGTTGTTTTGTTCATTATAGACACTAATTATTATTTAAATTTTTTTTTAGTGTTCAAAAGATGATGTTTCGACAAAATTCCGGAAAAATTTTGATAAAGAACGTACTGTATGCATAAGTAACCCAAAAACATTGGAGTTCCAAGTTGCTCGTACTAATATTTTATCTGGAATTTTGAAAACAATATCAGCTAATAAAAAAATGCCTCTACCTATGAAATTGTTTGAAGTAACAGATGTGGTACTTAAAGATGACACCACTGGTAAGTAATTGCATGCAGTATTTCTAAGGTTAGGTTGCTAACGGTTTTGTTATTCATTGTAGAAGTGGGGGCTCGTAATGAAAGACATGTGTGCGCCATATATTATGGAAAAACCCCAGGATTTGAAATTGTTCATGGCCTCATGGACCGTATAATGCAAATGTTAGACGTAAAATTTTCTTCTGAAAGTGGCAGTACCTATCAAATTAAAGCTGCCAATGGTAAAAATATTAAATAATAATTAATATATCAATATTAGATTGTATTACATGAAGTGCTGATATTTCATTATTAATTTTTGTTTTAGATGGTACTTACTTCCCAGGTCGCTGTGCACAAATAATTTATCAAGGGAATGTCATTGGATTAATGGGTGTTTTGCATCCTGATGTGATTACTTCCTATGAACTAACCATGCCATGTTCTGCATTTGAATTTAATCTTGAACCATTTTTGTAAAAATGATAAATAAAATGTTTATTAATTTTTCAAATTTGTTTTATTTTAACATTAAAAAAAAAAATGTAGGTTATAGGTACAATATTAACATTTAAAATAAACAAACTTATTTCAATACATTTTATAATAAAAAAAAAAAAAAAAATTAATATTTATATAGGTATTTAATTACATTATTTTATTAAAGTTATTTATAATTTGATTGATAAGCATTTAAAATATTGCATATTTGCATAATGCATAAGATATTAAGATGTGTACTTGTTTAAGCCAATATTCTTATCATTAATTAGTCTGACTGCTTTTACATACATCACGAGATATAAGAGTAAACAGTTTAATGTTTGGATAATATAATAGCCAATAGGTAAGTCTGTAAATTACCAGTATTATTATCTTCTAAAATATTAAAGAACGTAGATTCAATACAACTTTGCTTTTTTCATACTGGTATTGGTAATACCCAAATTAATTAAATTATTAAAATAACCCATAAATAAAAAAAAAAAATTGTTGCTATTATCATTACATTGCATTGTAGATGGGCCACTTAGTTGTTGATGGCTGCCTAATTATTTTGAGTTGTATATCAGACTCTTTATATTGGTATGCACCTCTAGCAATAGTACTCAAACCCCAGTTGCTGAAAACTTATCCATAAGGAATAGATATCCTTCCCTGGAAAACTTTTTTTTTATTGAACTTAAGCCATAAGCTGTTTTTTTTTGGGGGGGGAGGGGTTAAAACACGTTTTTGTGTTTGGTAGAATTTCAGGTTGAGCACCTGTAGGTTTATGCCATGTCTGGTTGGGGGATGGCGGCCTCACTCTCTAGACCCAGGGTCTCCAAACTACGGCCCGCGAACAAGTTTTAACCGGCCCGTGGCCCGCATAGATAAATATAGATAAAAAAAATATTTCAAAAATGTATTTATATTATATTATATTTATACCTATTTATTTTTATTTAAGTATATTATAAAGTAAACAATATTTTATACAAAAATATAAAGTAAACACATTGTTTATATAGGTACCTATATTATCATATAATTAAAAATTATGTGTTAATAAACTTTTGGCCCGCTAAGAGCATTTGATTTTTTTTGTGGCCCTTGAATAAAAAAGTTTGGAGACCCCTGTTCTAGACAGTTGCTTGTCCAGAGAGAGGAGCCGCCCGTGGTGTAGGTTTAAACCGGTGACGGTTTGTGTCGGAAACCACCCCGTAATCCACTCGGCCACTCCGTCCCCCAAAAACTAATATTGTAATTAGGACTATGTTACACTTGTTGTTAAAATATCAAAACAAATTTTTATTAACATAGGTAAAATATATTTGATGCGATAATATGTGCATATTAGGTCAAATAATAATAATATATAATAATCATTCTATGTAAAAATATTCACAGAATGTAAAATAATTTTCAAAAAAAAAAAAAATGCCTAAATTAAAAACTAAAATAATAAGAAACAGTAACAAAAATAAGTCTAATCTATGTTTACATAAAAAAAAAAAACAACTAATAGGATAAAATTTGAGAGTATTTTGTTAACCATTACAAAATACAACATAGAAGTCACAAAACAAAAAAATACTCTAATCAAACTATTTATAGGTACTTGGTAGCAGTAAAAATATACATTTATATAACTTCTACCATACATAAACATAAACAGTAGCCCTACTTAGAAAAAATAAAACTGGTTAACATATTTGTATCATTTCCATAGAAAAATAAACATATTAATATCCAACATTTCCTGCAATACATGTCAAAACGTGTCAGTCTTAAATATTGTCTTGTAATGATTCCAGTGGTACATTATATTAAATAATATCCACACAAATAATTCCTTTTTTAAAATACAATATGGAAACATTGTGGAATGTTACACTTTTAACGGTATTGTACAGATTTTTTAATATTTTACTGAACGTTTTTATTTGAATATATTATCAAAGTCGGCTAAAAGTGCTTCTATCACCATATTTTGTTGCATCAGGTCAATCGCCATATTTGTTGATTCCGTTTCTGGCCACATGAGGGTTGGTCCAAAAACAATAGCTAAATTTGGAATGTGCATCCGGTTGAATTCCTTGTAACTTGTTACTCTACAAACAATACATTTATTAATTAATACAAATCATAGACATATTTAGAAAAATTATATTACTTCAATAAGTGTATTAGTAAGAACTTTAGCGTGTCATAATTGGGTCCAGGTAATGACTTTGTGATATCACGAAAATTTAATAACTTGTCTTTACGACTATGACTTGCTGGAAAATAAATATTAGATATTTTATTAATTTTACCAATACATGACAAATACAATAAATTAATTAATGTGTGATAGATGGGTCCTCAACAGTAAACACCATGATCTTTACAGTTAAATTTTTAAGATGACTAGTTGTACTATAAGATATTTGTATAAGATTTTTACAACAAATGAAACAAAAAGGAACTTAATAAATTATGATTGAATCGCTGAGCATGGCATAATATTAAACACATAAATTACCAGCTGAGAATGTATGTAACATGTAACATACCATGGTAACCTAATTTGGCACTGAAACGAGCCATTATTATTAACTTCCTAAAATATTAATAATGATTAAAATCTCGAAACATTCAAAAAATAGTTAGATGAACTTGACACTTACTGCCTGCTGAAATAGCTTTGCGGAAAGCATGATACGGTATAAGAGGTTCTTTGAGTTCTCTGAAAAACAGCTTAAGAGCGCCAGTTAAAACATGAACATCCTCTTCTTGGTCAATCACTGATAGATTATTTTGGTCAACTTGTAATCTTATCTTTTGCACCTGAGATAAATTGCCTGAAGCGCGGTACAGGCCATCGGTCTTTAAGTTTTCTTCGCTGATCTCAATTGCTGCCACACAACGTTGTACAAAAGCTGGAACGCGCGGTTGATCAGTACCAACCACATGTTCCAAGAAACACCCAAATGCATTCTCATCTAAATTAAAAATCAATAATGTAACAAAATGACTATTGGATGAATAATGATTAAAAAATACCTTTCCATATTCCTTTTTTGACTAGCGATTCCATCGTAGGTCTTCGATGAAAAAATTTCCGTAGACGGGCTTTTATTTTTGTCTGACGTTCTACATTTGATGTCAAATCTTCCATACTTCCACCATCTTTTGCTTTTACTAATGAAAAAATAGTCATGAAATTATCAATTGCAAAATAAAACCAAGACCTTATCATTTTCATGCCATAACATTCAAATACACAAATGATAAATATAATATTTGAATACACCAATATTTAAAACATGACTGTTCATAAAAAAAAAAAGATAAAATAAAACCAGTATACAAACTGCAATATTCATTAAACTCAATTGATAAACTACTGTTTTCCCTGTTTCATTATCTAGACCCTCTACTACAGGATATGACTATATATAATAAATTAACTAGTGTAAAAAAAAACAATAACAACACATTTTTTTAATTGGAACTTACATTTAAGGGATTTGTTCCTATTTAGTTTGTTTTTTTTTTCAGCGTCAAGGAAGTCTTTGGTGCGTGTATTTGGTGAACGAGGACATCTGTCAAAGTTACACGGCTAAAAATAATAAATATATTTTAGTCAAACATGCATTTAGTGATGATATATTTTTTTAATAGATTAATATATATACAACTAACCAGATTGGAAATAACTGCTTGTATTGCATAGAGCCATGACTGGGCTTGGATGTTACATTCGTTTTGGAACAATACCTGAGTTCCTAAGACAGTACTGATAACGTAGACATTTTTACGGCTAGATACCTTGTCTGCTGGATACACAAGGGCACCATTCAAATCCACACAAAGTTCTGGTCGTCCATTACCATTTTTCTATGAAATAAAAATATTTATTAATATATTATGTCCTATAATACTTTAGTTAACAGAATAATAATTTACCATTGCTACAAAACATTTAGAGTCTTTGAAGAAAAGTAAAAATAATTCCGTAAGTATTACATGTGATATCGTCCAATTCTTTCGAAGCCTCTTTCCGTTTTCAGTAATTTTTGTTCGATTTAAGGGACCTTCTTTCAGTACGCACTACACAGGTGGTTAATTAATAAGTATGTAAAAAACAATTAAAATTAATAAAAATAAAATAATTACCATATGCCCATCCCATAATTGGGGCCAATTCTTAGGAACATTTACTTGAGGCGACGATGGGCTCCTAAAAATGTAATAATTAATATAATTGGTATTTTTATATTGTATGTATACAACAATAAAAACTTATACATTTAAATAAAATAAATTTATAAAAATTACTTTAAGTCTGAAGAGTCATTTTTTTCACTATTACTTTTGTTTGATTTCAAAGATGAAGAAGAATCTTCTAAGTCTACTTTAAGAGACGATGGGCTAGCATTAGATGCATTGCTATTACTTGTCTCAGGCAATGTCCAAGATGATTCTTTACTATTTTCTTCATAGTAGTAAGATCGACCTTTAAAATCTTTTGAAGAGAGCCACTAAAACATAACAAAACATACTGGTTCAATATGGTATGTCTAGATACAGTTGTCAGTAGTTATGCGGTTAAAAATATAAGCAACAATTTCTGACTTTTTGCATTTATTTATATAGTAGTATGTGGTATAAAATTCATAATTTAAATTATTATTATGAATTAGTTGTATTATTAAATGTATGATTATTTATTTATAATATGTAACATTTAATCACGATATTACGAGTTTTTCTCAGTGAGACCCAGTATTTCTCTGTAGGGAAAATTAAATGAATCAAATAAACGACTTTTTACTTTTCAATCTTAACGAAATTGTTAGATGATTATTGTTTGAACATTAGCGTTAACATAGAGCGTGTGGACAGCACCTGTTCGTCTTCAGACGAAATCCCGTCCAAAGCGCTGTCCATGAGCTCATTTTTCCAAGCCATTAAGTCAGACCACTTTGGTCTAAACGAAATGCAAATTTCATCGTCTGGGAACGCCGTTGTCGGCAGGGTACAGTCATCGTCGACGTCGAACGACAACGAACCGTCGACGTCGCCCTGCTGCCGGTCCATGCTATAATATTCAAAATCCGAAACGCTGGTGGTGGAGTCGAAATCGAATAAATTATCAATTGTCGAGTCCAAGACGGAGTCGCGGTTAACACTAAACAAATTCCACGGTTCCGACTCTTCGGCCACCGTGTGCCGTAGACATTGCAACCATCTCACCACGTCCGCTTCCATGGGAAGTATAATAGTCGTCGATAAGGAAACCGACGCGTTCAAGAGTCGGCGCGACACTGTTTAATTGACACATACTGACATCCATTCGTGCGTGGTACTTATTAGTTGATTTTTTTTTTTATTACAATTTACATTATACAATTAAAACGGAGATGACGACGACGACAGCACAGCGAGCAACAACTATCGTGCTTTTAGCTAACCGGCAGAACGATGTATAATATTGTACGTAACCTGCGTGAAATGTTTAAAATAGATTCACCACGTAGTAGGTATATATTCACAGTCGTATTTGCTGTGTGCCTGTGAGTTGGCATTTAAATGTCATGCTTTAACCTATTATAATACAAATATATTTTATATTAAAAATACTAAAATGTCTATAACCTTTAAACACTACTATACAAACGAATTATAAAGGATTTGAGTATTTAGGGTTTTTTTATTTGGATATTAAAACAATATATTTAGGTCCCGTCAAAAAAAAATAATCATTATTACAGACGATCAGAATTTAAAGTAAAATATTCTTATACACGCGATTAAGAATTTTTTTTTCATTATGTTATGATTTATGAATGTATGCTGTAGTTCTATGGTTTCTTTCAACGTTAATTTGAATAAAATTAAAAATCGTAATTAATTTAGGTATTTAAATATAACGTACCTACTACGTACATAATAAAACTAAAAATATCTATAAAAAAATGTGTATAAATATTTTTTTTGATTTTTTGGTTACATGCGATGAATTACTTTCAATCTTTACCTATAAAAATTTAACATTTTATCAATTTTTAACTACAAAATAATTTGCAAGTTTTAGTGATTCTGATGAATTTTGTCAAAATTAGAACTTTTAATGCTTATAAAAAAATCGTGCCACATTATGTATCTTTAATAATTTTAATCTGCTATTTTAATAACTTAAGAGGAACCTTGTAAAAATGATCAAGCTTTTCTACCCAGCAAAAATGTATATAAATAGCTCAAAAATAATTTTTTTTAATGTTATCATGATTAGAAAATGATAAAATAAATATTTTGTGAAAAAGTCAAGTTGATGTACCTACCATTATTCGTTTTTGAATTACAAGTAAATAAGAAAATTATTCGACGAGGAATCGTTGATTATGATTATTATGACTGAATCCAAAGTCGTAAACATTTTCAAATAATATGACCTTCCGGCAATTTTTTTTTAGTTGGATAGAGTTAGAAAAACTTATGAGAAATCTTGTATTACATTTATAAATCTTAAGTATAAAAATAAAGAATTTATGAATTTTTAACGCAATCTAATTTGGAAATTTTTGTGATTTAAACGAATTTAGTCAACATAGTGAAAATTCTAATTTGAACTTATTGTCAATGCATGAACGACGTTTTTTTCAATTACACTAACTCAGGGGTGTGTTCCAACCTATTGTGAAGACTGGGCTACATCATATGGGTAGAAGTTGATATGGGCCACATACTTTTTAATAATAATACATTCAAATTGATAGATTGTATTATATTATTCTATAATACAACAATACATTTTTTTTATCATTTTACTATAACAAATAATAAGCAGAATTTTTTTTGTTGATAAATGACACGGAATACTGGTATCGGAGCCAATAAAGATACCCAAATAAAGTTTATCTTTATTTGATGTTTGATATTTTGTAGTTTTATATTTTTAACATACATTTTTTCGTAATATTAATTAATTATTTACAATTAATTAATGGTTTTTAAATTGAAGTGAGGGCCGCATCAAAATCTAAAACGGGCACAACTGCAATAACTTATAACTTATGAGGAACCCTTGTATTAAATTTTCGAATTTTTTTAACGAACAAAAAATTATTTATCAACAGACGCTCTGCTGTACAGTACGTTACAAGTAGGTAATTGTATTAGAAAAACGATTCTGAGCGAAGACGATATGTCAGTCTAGGTATAAGACATATTATATACATATCTATGTTATCACAATATCATAATCACTTAATCATATCACAATATAAATTAGGTACTTATAACGCGTTATACATCAACAACAAACCCAGATACGATCATAGGTATATAATAGTGTACTTTAGAAGTTTCAAGTACCCACGAATTATATTATATACAATCACAACAAAATAACTAAAATAGATATTCTAGGATTTTTATAATGTAATTTCGTTAAAAGCTGAACTTCAAATGACTATAAAAATAAACTTTGTTTATGTATTTTTTTAGATTTTTTGGTAACAGTATTAGCTAATTACGTGGAATCTTGTTTTAAATTTTCAATCCTTAGATATAAAAGTTGAACAATTTATACATTTTTAACTAGAGAATAATTATTCAATTTTAAATTTGATAAATTTTGTCAACATTTGAACTTTAAATGCTTATAAAAAAAAATTGTGCCAATGTATTTTTTCAACTGATATGGTAACAATATATCAGGAGCCTTGTATTACATTTTTACACTTTTTGGCCCAACAGATAAAACTTTATTGATATTTATAGAAAAAAAAACGAAAAAAATTGAAAACTGTAAATGTCCGTAAACAACTCAAATTAAGTCAAAATATTTTCAAAATTGTATGGTGTAGGTTAGGAAATGCTAATCTAAACATTCAGTGAAAATGTCATGTATCTACAGTTATTCGTTTTTGAATTACAATAAAATATGGAAATCACTACATGAGAAATCGAGTGAATATCCAATGTTGTAAAAATTTTAATTTCAAACTTTCATAAAAATTTAATTTGACTTCCTTATACACATTTTTTTTTTGATTAAGGTAGATAATCCTATAAGGAATCTTGTATTACATTTTAAAATTTTAGATTTAAAAAGAAATTTTTTTACGAATTCTTAACTCAAAATAATTTGATAATTTTCGTGAATTTTCATTAATCCTGATTTTTTTAAAATATTTTTCATCTGCCTTTGAAACAATATACTAGGAGCCTTCTATTAAATTGTCAAGCTTTTTTAACCAACAAATAACATTTCATTTATAATTATAGAAAAAAACTAAAAAAAAAAATGGAAAATGAAAATATTCCCAAACAGTTCAAAACAAATCATAAAATTTTGAAAATTTTATCATGTATAGAAAATGCAAATATAAACAACCAGTGAAAATTTCATTAGAGTTACACCAAAAACCAAAATCGATTTTGCTTAAAAATCCCGTTTTTCCTTAAGTCTTATGTTGTTTTTCCCGGCGCTCGTGAAAATTATTGGGAATTTTCAAATTTGACCTCTCGAATGCACCAACTAGATTCACTTTCCCATCGAACAAGATACTGCTGAAGAAAATGGAAGCAGTTTTACTGCCCCAAACCGTGATGACAGACACAAAAATAAATTAAAAACTAAAAAGAAAAAAAACACACATCATTGTAAAACCAATACATTCATCGTTCCACTCAGAATCTAAAAGACTCATGTCTATAAATAGTTCAAAAAAATATTTATAACATTTTATCAAGAATAGAAAATGGTAATAATCTACGATTATTCAATTTTGAAATAAAAAAAAAACACAAAATCAATTTTGTTAAAAACTGGTTTTAATTTGAGTTAAAATTCTTGTTTTTTCTTAATTTTTTAGATTCTGAGTGGAACCATGAATGTATTGATTTTACAATGATGTGTTTTATTTTTATTTTTGTGTCTGTTTACACGATAAGTAGTCGAAATAATGCTTCGATTTTCAACTTCAGTATCTTGTTCGATTGGAAAAAGAATATCGTTAGGGTTAGGGCATTGGGGAGGTCAAAATTTAAAATTCCCAGTAATTTTCAAACGCGTCAAGAAAAACAGAAGAAAAATTAAGGAAAAACGGGAATTTTTAAGCAAAAAATGTCTATAAGAAAGTCAAATTAAATTTTTATGAGCGTTTGAAATTCAAATTTTTACAATTTTGGAAATTCACTCGATTTCTCATGTAGCAATTTCTTTATTTTGTTGTAATTCAAAAACGAATAACTGTAAATACATGAACATTTCGCTGAATGTTTATATTAGCATTGCCCATACACCATACAATTTTGACAATGATTTGACTCTTTTTGAGCTGTTTACGGACATTGTCAGTTTTCAATATTTTTAGTTTTTTTTTCGATAAATATCAATAGAGTTTTATCTGTTGGGCTATGAAGTGTAAAAATTTAATACAAGGCTCCTGATTTATTGTTACATTAGTTGAAAAATATTAAAAATACATAGGCACAATTTTTTTTTATAAGCATGTAAAGATCGAATTTTGAC